CCCCCCCCCCCCACACGACAGCATGAAATACTACCTCCACACCTTCCCCCCCCCCGCGGAAAAATTACCTGACAGAAACTAACCAAAACACGCATAAGGCATACGTTTTTCATAACCTTGCTTGAAAATGAGGCTATACAGAGAAAGCTGTTCTCAGGAAAAGCGGTGCCTAGGGCGTATCAGTGAGACGATTTTGCCGCCTCCGTCTATGTGAAGTGCATGGAATTTTATCGCTTAATTCAATTGACCAGAGTCAATATTTTGCAGCCCCCTGTTACAGGCACCAGGGGTCATTGACCCTCTTACCCCGCCTTCGCACCACCCTGAGTATATCAAGGGTTAGGGGCCTCAGTGCAATACTGTGCCCATGGTCTCCGCTGGCGTTTTTAATACATTGTAAAGCGCTTAGAGCTTTAAGGTAAGCGCTATATACAAATGCCTAAATAAATAAATAAATAAATAAATAAATGAATGAATGAATGAATGAATGAATAAATAAATAAATAAATAAATAAATAAATAAATAAATAAATAAATAAATAAATAAATAAATAAATAAATAAATAAATAAATAAATAAATAAATAAATAAATAAATAAATAAATAAATAAATAAATAAATAAATAAATAAATAAATAAATAAATAAATAAATAAATAAATAAATAAATAAATAAATAAATAAATAAAGACGGCGCTGGCTTTCAGGACACACATACATTTACACATCGTCATTTAAATGAATTTTTAAAAATTAATTGTGTAAAAGAAATAAACAAGTGGATAAAATTTAAATTAAAAACCTAGATAAACAATAATATAAAAAGTAACAATATATTTTTTTTTTAAATATTTTTTTTTAATTAACAAGATGCAGACCCATTCAAGGGAAGAAGTAGAATAATAATGAAATAAGATAAGATGCGATTCCTTTATTGGTCCAAACAAATGGAAATGTTTTATGATTGCATTGAACATTTTCAGTACATAAATAAAAAAAAAAAATTGAACACAAGATATTTATGTTAATAAACTATTTCACTAGTAAAAAAAAAA